GAATGCTAAACTCTGTAGAATGATTTTTTAATTCATTTGGCATTCTCAACTTTTATGAGCTAGATCCAAATATTCTTTCTTCTCCCAAAGAAATTTCATATATTGATCATCTAACAAAACTATTACTTTGTAGGTAATTGTTGCACCTAGGATATGTCAAATCCCAAAGGGCCTGCAAATTTCAGAAATCTGATGCAGAATGGGAAGAACTCTCTACTTCCCCCTAAATGTCCATTTCCCAGCATAACCTCATCTTACTCTGATTATGGACCCAATACCAGTTTGGGTTCAAAACCTACCTCAAAGTGCAGAGATGGAAATGCTTATCATCAAAGAACTTCATCAGAGAGCCTTTTAGATGAGCAGCCTTCTTGGTTGGATGATCTTTTGAATGAGCCAGATACTCCTGTTCGCAAAGGTCATCGTCGTTCATCAAGTGATTCTTTTGCTTATTGTGATGCTGGCAGTATGCCCAGCATGGATTATATGGCACCAATGACGGTGTCGCACGATGAAAACATTCAAAACAAGTTCAGACCTATGGTATCTGCTCCATTATGGGGATCACAAAACTTTGATCTTAGCAAAGAAACTCCTCAAGGGTCACTCTACCATGACCTTAACTTTTATGGGAAACGTAAGAACAAGGCATTGGAAATGAAATTGGCTCCTGCAAATCATACCAGTGGCTTGCGTTTATCAAGGGATAATGCCGTGACCCAAAGTGTAGGAGGGTCTGCAGCTCCACTTGAAGCATATCCAGTTCCAGCTGAGAAGCAATACCAAAGTGACTCTGGTATTGCTTCTGAAAAGAAAGATGGTTCCCATGCCAAAACTCCATCTGAAAATGATACTAAACGTGCTAAGCAGTAAGCCTCTATCTCATTAATAATTGTTACTGACTATAGTTAGCGGCTCTCACCTTTTGCTTTCTGTTTTTCTTTTTATTTATTTTTTATTTTTTTGAAGGAGGGGGGGGGGGGGTGTTTATAAACACCCTTATATGCCTCTTCTCAAGCCCCTGAGTTAAAAAGGAGAGAGAAGAAAGAAAGAATAAAAAAAACTCAAAAGTAATATTGTATTGTTCACCTTATCATTCTTAAATCTAGTTTTTTGTGCTTAGTTCCTTGTAGATTGATAACCATTTTTTTAAAAAAATTATCATCCCTGTCCCTTTTTAGATTCTTGTTTATAGTACCGCCTATTCTTATGCAACATGCTGAACCTCCTATTGCTTGAGTAATCACATAGCTGAAAATATATGAAGCTCTTCATTTATCATTTGGTGATCTATTGATCTGTGACCTCAAACAATTTTCCGTTGTTTTACATGACTGATAAAGTTTAATTTATTGTTTGGTATGTACTTTGTTGAAGGTTCTTTTGTACAAGATTATGTTATCATGCTATTCCCTATGCTAAAAAAGATAAGAACCATAGACAATGTTAGTTGCTAGGAACTATGTGTAGATCTTCGTTGATGAACCTTCTGCTTGCCCTCATGTAATTGACTGACCCTTACAGGGTGTTTCTTACTTTTATATTTAATTAATAATTAAATTAAGAGGACTATTCTAACGAAATATTTGAGTAGCAGTTCATAAAGAGAAATCTGTCTACTCCGTATTTCAGATGGTCAAAACTTGAGACTAGAGATAGTTGAGGCTATACAATATATATATATATATATATATATATATATATATATATATATATATATATATATATATATATATATATATATATGTGTGTGTGTGTGTGTGTGTGTGTGTGTGTGTGTTCTTTCCAATGTTAATAGCTTTGTAATTTTTTGAACATCTATTGTTTTAATGTTAAACAACCTGCTTAGGTCTGGTAGCTGCTAATTTGACTGCTATATTGAGAACAAAATTTTTCTCTGAACTTTTCTTAATGTAGGCAATTTGCTCAACGTTCGAGGGTTCGGAAGCTTCAGTACATAGCTGAGCTGGAAAATAATGTACAGGCATTACAGGCAAGTTTTTGTTTAGTAATTTACCAAATCGGTCCTTTTCTTCTCTCCTGTACAATTATGGGAAAGGAAAAGGTAGGTCAAAGGCCACTGGTTTTATACTTTCTTGTCTAATTTTACAGGCAGAGGGGTCTGAAGTTTCAGCAGAGCTTGAGTTTCTTAATCAACAGAATCTAATCCTAAGCATGGAGAATAAAGCTCTTAAGCAACGTTTGGAAAGCTTGTCCCAGGAGAAGCTCATCAAATACAGTAAGTGTTGTCAACTATTTTGAAGATAAATAAGCTCTCTTTTGTAATATGGTGATGTCAAAGATTGTGATTGTCAGACAAGCTGCTTAAGCTAGGTCATAATTTTGTTAATCCAGTCTTGTCTCTGTTTTCTGGTATGCTTGATTGTTTGGAAGCAGTCAGAAGCTTGATGCTTGTATACTAGAAAAATCCTCTTATAACTTTTTTTTATTATTATTTATAAATCACTCATTGGAGTGGGGGTGAGTTATTTTTTGAATTAGTGGATCCTAGGGGTCACAGTGCAAATGACATGCTGAATGATTTCATTGGACTTGTATCAGTTATGGGAGAGATTTTAGTTACCATGATAGTTGATAATCTAATGCATGATGTGTATTGTGTGCCAAATTGCCAACCCCTCTCGCATATTGTGGGTCTAACCGTCCAAGATGCTACCATTTGATGTCACATCATACATTTTTTTGAGGCTGGTCTGCTGGTATAGAGTACTCTGATAGATTCATGAATGTTGAATCTTGCTTTGATCTCTTCTGCTAAGATCTTTCATGCTGATACTGCTAAAATTTTGAAATCTCATTCTTCACTTTGGCTCTTCCTCTGGTGAATTTATAATAAAAATAGTACAGCCTTTACTTAAAAGTTTTGCCCTCATAATAAAGAAGCTTGCTGTTTTGAGATTACGTATCATTTCTTGCTAATTGCTACTTTGTGTCTTTGTATGACTTTGTAAAATTTGAAGTTTGTCTGGAGCTCCCTGTTATTCATAAGCAATTCTGATGAATGGTAAAAATATCAGTATATTATATTGTATTTATATTGATAACATAAAATGGCCATTTTCTGTGCTATGCCATGTAATTGCTGCAATCGATGAGAATTGAGTTAAATAGTGCTAAGAAAGCTCATGTTGGTTTCAGTGGAGCATAAAGTTTTGGAAAGAGAAATAGGCCGTCTTCGGACTTTGTACCAACAGCAGCAGCAGCAGCCACACCAGCCACTTCAGCGGCCGTCATCTAGCCACAGACGTACAAATAGCAGAGATCTTGATTCACAGTTTGCAAATCTCAATTTAAAGCATAAGGAGTCTAGTTCAGGCCCTGACTCCTTCAGTGGTCCAGTTGGTATTTGAACCTTGGGATTGTCAGAGGAATTTGTATGTGCTTTGTGTCCTTCAATCACTGATGCCACGCTTGTTTAGCTGTCATTTCTGCTGCAGGATTGGTCCCTTTTGACGTCAAGGTGTCCCCGTAGCTCGGATAACCTAATTTCTTCTTTCAGTTTTCATTTTCATTGAATTATTATTGTTTTGTGCACCTGGTGGCCGTCACTGGAATGGAAGGAAATTCTTTTTCCCAGGGATGTCTTGCCTGAGGTGGTTAAGGGGAGGGTATTTGTCTCGTGTGATGTAGCAATCACTAATTTAAGAATTTGTTTATCCCATTGTTTTTGCCTTTTGCGCATAGCAATTGTCAGATGTAGAACCTTGCAGAAAAGCAGGAGTGGATATGGGAAAGTTACCTGTAAGAGTATGTATTACAGGTTACTTGTAATGCATTATTGGTGAAACAGCTCTATAGACTATAATGAGCATTTTTACTGACAATTCATCCTTGTTATTTAGATGTAAATTGTTTAATGTGCAGTTAAAGTAGTTCTTGTTTGAGGCTTGGTCTGATTTGTCTTCCTTCTTCCCCCTCTTTTTTTAATTTAATTTTATTTTTATTAATATTATGATTATCATCATCTCGGGTTGGCTATGACAAATTTTTTGGCTCAATTGTTTGAAGCGTAATCTGTGTTTTCAAAAACATAACTCAGCTTTAAAAGAAACAACCTGTGCGGCTATGCCTCGAGGTTTAATAGGCCTGTATACCTTAATTTGGATGCTGTGACTATTTAATATGCAAGTATTTAATGTGCATTTAAGAAACTTACACATAAGTACAGATCTGGTCTCAACTCCTGTTGTTAAGACCAGTTTGTTTCAAGGATTTGTGTAGGTGATACGGAGTATTTGATTAAAAAAATACTTAAGTCTTTGAGGATTCTTGCCCTTCTATCACTTAAATTCTACAGATCAATGTTTAAGTAATAGGTCCCACTGCGTCCATCTTTCCATTTATGTCATAGAGGTGGTGATCTGGTCATTCAAATCAATTTAAACTAAATTAATTTGGGTAAGACTTGCTTAGCCTTACTTTCGATTGGTTCCTCATTTTTATAGCCTATATGCTTAGTTAATAATTATAAGTATTGGTAACATTTATAATCAGGTCATTCAGGTCGGGTCAAATTGAGCCAAGTGATTTTGGATAGAATCCATGTTTCAAGTTGGGTATTGAGTATAGTTCAGTTTTTCCAAGTTGATATGTTTAGATTAATATTTGGTGAATTCATTAAAGGTCCAAGTGAAAATTAGGAGAATTTAACACAGTAAAAAAATTATACTCCGTTTTTGTTCTAGCTTCTAACTAGTCTGCAGTCCCTCGACACTTACCAATCAAGGTGAAAACCAAAATGAAAGACACTAACTGAATCGTTGCAAGGCCAATCTTTGGTTATCTTGGTTAGTCACTAGACCTATACTCCGCCCTATGTTTTCTCAACACTCAACAGAACCAAATTCTGCCAGTGAGTAGAATTGAGCACATGAATCTACTGTCAATACAAAGATCCACCTGTGATAGATTTAACTGCCAGCCCAGTTCACTAAATTTTTTTTTAAAGAGAAGCACTAAACTTCAGCAACTTGCAAAAATAGACAACAGAATGGCAGTATATATCATAAACAGAGACATGTAACTTCCAAATAATTCAGTGTTCAACGGAGACGGATATCCAGTAAGAGGTTTCATTTTCCTCATCAAGGTAGTTCTTATGCTATACATGATGGAATATTTAAAATTGACAATTTACCTTGAGATAACTATGCTCTATGGTCATAAACAACAATTACAATGTAAACAGGGTCAAGACTCAGGAGCCAAGTAGCTTTTTCCACCTGGCGTATCCTAAAATCAGGAGAAAAATCAGAAAAGAAAAGGCAGTGCCACCTCCAATAACGTAGCCAAATATACCGTTTATATTATATAGGCTACATGGTATATTCATGCCAAAAAATCCTGCTATGAGGGTATCAAGTGCTATTGCAAATGATGCAATTGTCAGATTGAGCTGCAATTGAATAAGTTCGTTACGCTGGTTGTCAAGTTGGATATTCACATAATCTTCCGTATCGTCAATGTATTCCCTTACCTGCAGCATATACATGGTTATCAGATAACTAAAAGAACATAATGACCCGCAAACACTTCTGGGAATCATTCTTAGTAAGCGAGAAATACAACTCAGGACAGAAGAATTAAGCAGTTTGGCACTTTCAGCAGTTCAATTTTAAGTGAGACAAGAAAATTACAGATAATTTAAATTAGTGTTAGTCTGCCACAATTCTGACTCTGACAACTCAACTCTCTCGTAAAAACATACAAAGTGTGTTGAGTTGTTGACAACCACTATGGTCAATGAGGTTCATCAAATGGTAGTTTAAGACTTAGCTTACATTCAATAAGAAAACAAAATCATCATGGGTTAATTACTCCCAGAGGTAGCAATCACATTGTTCTAGGTCAATTTTATTCGGGTAAGACTCGTTCAGGTTGAATCGGGTCATTTTATGTTCTATTGCCAATATGTAATTTTTAATAGAATAATCAATATTAAAAACAGTGATTACTAGGTTGGTTCGAATCAGGTAGAGTACGGTTTCGGGTGGGGTAATCGGGCATGGTTCGGGTTTTAACAGGTCTAATCGCATCTCTTACTCCCCCAAACACCCCCCCCCCCTCTCAACCAACCTTAAAATAAAAACGACTGTCAGAGGAGGGATTAAAGCATTACGGGACACGTCACATCAACACCAAAGCCTACCAAGATTCATAGATCACAGTATTTCATTAAAGAACTAACATGGCTACATCAAATCAATAAATCTTTTAGGAATCATTGCACAGATAGGTGCGCATATTTATATTTATAATAATGACAAGCAAATGCCACCAAAATTAGCAAAATGTCACCCTTAATATATAATAAACTCTCACATGCCACTTCATCAAATAAAATAAAAATAAATAAATTAAAAAAAAAAGATACCTTTTCTGATTGCTACATCAATAATAATTTTAATCAAATATCAAATTGGTTTCCTTAATCAATTTCGATCAATCACAAATTTCAGCACACCTAATCAGAAGATTGTTGATACATCATACATACTCCATCTGTCCCTCTAAAATTGCCCCAAAGGTTAATTTTTATTTTTCGAAGACTTCATTGAAGTTTTGGCAAGTGAAGTTGTTCTTTTGTCATTTTCTTAGCCTGTATCTCATAGCAAACCCAATGGGACAGCAACAAGAAAACTGGGATAAAATTAGAGGGACAGAGTGAGTGCTAACCAAAGATCTATCCAGCACTAGCTAACCAACCAGCAACAAAATATTTAAAATAACAAAAAAAATAAAGGACCCCTAGGTCCCCTACAGGCTACATCACACCAGGTCCATACAAGTAACGGCAAAAGAGCATACATGATGCTGCCATATAAGCAGCAAATACAGTGAGAAAAGGAGCCCCCTATTCCACTTGTCCCCGGCCCCCACAGTAAATTAAATAAATAAACAAACTTAGTGCAGCTCCATAACAATCTGTCAGTTTTCATTTTTTCAAGTACACCAGCTTGGAATTTTAGGCCTAATGATTGTCCTCCCTCCTCTCAACAGGGTAACAGATGAAGAGCTTCTCCAGTCTCCACTAGACACCCCCCCCAAAAGAAAAAAAAAAAAAAAAAACAAAACATGGATGAATGTGCCAGCTTTTTCTCCATCTCATTCTTAAGCTGTGGAGTAACTTCGTCAATTTTCGGACTCCATTTTGACTTTTACAGACTTGTTTCAGTCATAGAGAAAATCACCTAATATACTCCTCTTGTTACCAACACCATTTGCGAATATTTTGTCCTCGTAAATTGTAATTGATATGTAATCCTTTAGTCTAATCGCCTTTACCAAAATTCCCAACCCCCTCTCTAGCTATCTCGCATATAAGAATTAATCCCAAACTCCCAACTCCCATATTTTTTAGAATAGCAAATACCTAAGGGTTTAAAAAGAGACTTTACAATACTTTATGGGTTATAAGAGATTAAGAGCATACACAAGACATTAAAAACATAAAAATATGATGATACCCTCCTGCCCCTCTCTTCGCCTTTTCTTATCACAGAAAAGAAAAAGGAAAAAAAATAGAACCATGCAGAATTTTCGCAGGTACCAGAAAAATCAAGATGAAACAATGCATATACAACCTTACATCCCCTCAAAAGCACAGGTAAAATTACAAGTGCTAGCATACCTATCTCAGCACACAAATTACTTCACCAAAAAGAAAAAAAAAAAAAAAAAATATATATATATATATATATACACGATTGCATGTAAACAGGAAAAAAAAAATGCTATGGTCTTCCACAAATAGAGCAATACTTACAGACAATATCTTGTTCCTAGTCCCATCCAACTGCATGAAATAAGCCTCCAGTAACATCTCAAGATCTTCAACATCATCATCCCAGTAGTTGCTGGTCATTATACTTCCACTCCGATGAGAGCTGTTCCGATGAAGAGCATGTTGTGACGGGACAAGGGAATGTGATGCAGCTGAATTCATTAAAGCTTCAGATTGTTGATATTGAATCAACTTTCTCGTAAGATATAGATGAGCCATATCTTCATTATCATCCAAAAGATGCTCAATTTCATCTCTTACCTTGAAAGATTAGGATTTAAACTTATTCAGAAGCTGAACACAACAATACAGCAGTAAGATAATATGGAGGATTGTTGACAAGAAGCTATTGATTAAGATGAGTAACAAAAATATATGTACAATCCATCATAAAATCAACACTGTAGCATCTTTACATGTATATTATAGGTTAAAAGGCGGATTAAGATGTGACCACTGACCACAAACATTGTACATCCAAGAATGTAATAATTAATGATAAAACTCATTTAATATATTTGTCGAAGGATCTACCATAAAAATTGAAAAATAATGGATAAAAGCAAAGATTGTGACCAAGACAAGTGACAAAGACACGATGTAACAGCTGAGTTCAGAAACAGCAAAAAAAGTGGCATGTAGGCTGCAGCAAACAACCTTTACCTTGGCTTTAATAGACACAATAAATTCGTGAGAATTGCAAAGGACATTTACCCCAAAAGTCTGATCCCTAGCAATTTCATAAAAAGATAGAGTTTCCAATAAGTCTGATCTAGCAACTTTCATGAAAGATAGAGCTTCCAAATAAAATCTGAAAATAAGTGCTGGCAAGGTGGGCAATTAATGAACAAGGTACAACATATTCAGCAGTGCAGCACAGATACTCTAACAAAAGAAATATCACAATCACACTACACAGCACTGCCAAGAACTCAAAAGACAACTTTCCATAAGTGTATTGGCTGTATTGACAGAATGAATCAAGCTTTAGGTGACATTGAATTTGAAAAGCAAATCCACGACGTCCAAAAGGTATCTAACGTTCCATCTAATAAGAAAGCATCTAGAACAGAAATTCAAGACATCGGACTAGAAAAAAGAGCTGTGACCTACCTAGAATCCTACACAAGTAATCCCCATGAGAGCAAGAGCAGTGAGCACTCAAGTTGGGAAGTTCATACTCTGACTTCAGTATACAAATATAGAGATGATATAGGTGTATTTGTAAACAGATCCTACAGAGGATGAAAGATTAAATAAGTTTGATAATACTCTTCTTTCCCGGCTATTAATTTGGCTATGGTTCCACAATGATCACATACTAATTCATCTACATCACAACATGCCTACTAGACAAGAAGTAATATGAAAATACTTTCACTGTACAGAAAGGTATCCAACTGTAAGATTTTAGAAGCATAGCTCAATTCAGCGTTTATTACCTTTTGCACCCGAGCAAGCAAGCGGGTGAGATTACTCTTCAAGCTCCTCACACGTTCAAGATTCTTGGTACTTACGTTTCGAGCCAATTCATCCAACACAGGATAAGCATGCTTCTCAAGCTCAGCAACATTGGAATCCAAATAAGAACAGACCACCTCTAAGGCAATTTCTAGCACCTGGAATTCAAATGGAAGCTCCTGCTGCTCACCTTCAACAGCTTCAGGGGTACGTGCCCACTGCGCCTCAGTGGAACGTACTTTATTATCACGATCATTTACAAGTTCTGATTTATTCATAGCCTGATTCTTATGAGGAAGCTGTTGCCGAAGCTGATCCACGAAAGGAAGAACCTCCTGGCGAAGAGGCTCAAGTAAAAGCACCTCTTCAGCAGTTACTATGGCCTTGATGAACTCTAAATTGACAACCATGGCTCTTTCTCTAGCTGCCAAAAAAGATACAGGAAAAAAAACATTACTGAGCTTGATCCTCCTAATCCATCCTATAAGATTTAAGTCAACAATTGCGTGTAACAGCATTGTTTACTTATACTACTATAAGACAAATTCAAATAGAAGGAAACTTAAGCTTATAGCAAAACAGCAAACCTATTATAAACTTACAACTCATTCATGTCAAAATTAAATCAAATCATACCAAAGTTTTGTGCAGAGTTTCCATTTACTTGTTACCAAACATCTTTGATTGCTTATACATAAATGCTTTATTAAAGTTTTGATTATACACATTGCCAAATCTAACAAGATCCTACTACATAATGTTTATTATAATACGTAAGTGCAAAATACGGTCAAAACTTAGTCAAATCAATACATCTGAACAGAAATATTTGGACTAACAACACTAAGTTAACAGGTCAGCCCATTGCTCAGTTATTAACCGAGTAATGTAACAAGATAGTTTCTTTACCCACTATAATATGACAAATGATGGAAATACTCCCAGTGCCTAATATACTAGCCAGCCTTATTTTGCTATCTTAAAGGAACAACTGAAATACTCCCTCCCGAACAAAATTTGAGCAATAAGATTATATCCTCTAATCAGTAATGAATGCATATTCAACCAGTTTTCTTGCATAACACACTTTCAGTTATATCTTTCACGCCTTCACTAGCTGATTAGCAATCACTCCCCGTGCCCTAAGTATGTGTAGTTCGATTCAAGACCGGTTAGCTATTGCATTGGTGTTCTAAAGTGACAAGCAACAATATTTTTCCAATCCAAAGAAGCAAGCATTAAGGAAATTTATTAGTTGATCAAAGTAACAATTGACAAGTAATTAGAAACAAAATCAAGATACACAACTCCCAATTTAGAACAAAATTAAACCCGTGTTAGTTATTCCATTGGTATTCAAAACGCGCTAAATTCATTGCATTAAGTCACACATTAAGTGGACACCTACATCAAAATCCAGTTATAATCAACTTTGCATAATCAAAAAAAATAATTCCACAACATTATACTTATACCACTATGGTAATTAACGATTAGCTCGCGATTAGACTGCCTCACACTAATTTATTGCGAGACATTAAAATTCAAACTTACCTCAACAAACAAATAAAAATAGATCAGTCAACCATTAAATAAACTCTAATAACCTCAAAATAACACAAAACAACATAAAATAAATCAAAATCATCACAAAAAACCAAACAAAAAGATGAAATTAATACCAAGAATATTAGAAGATTGAGAGAAAACAGGCCCAAGAATCCTCAAATCTCTCGCCGGAATCCCAACACGCTTAATAATCGAACTCTTATCCCACTCAAACAATTCCGACTCACCAAACTTATCGAATTTCATCCATAACCTCGAACCTCCCATCTTCTTCTTCACTTTACTACTACTCGCAACGACAACAGCGTCGGCGGAAGATCCGGCAACTTCATCGGTTTTCGGCGTCGGAACAATTTCAATTCCCGAGGTTTCCGGCGACATCATAGCCGGAAGTTTGCGATTCCGGCGACGAGAGAAACTCCGGCGGAAAGAGAAAGGGTTCTTCCCCATTCTCTCTCTTCCTGAGGAATTGGTAGGCTTTCTCTCTCCTCAGAAAGTGGGATGATTGCGTGAATAATCTGGGTTATTTCCGACGGGTCGGGTTTGTCTGCCATCAACTCCAACAAAAGTCGCCGAATATATTTTTTGGGTGTTGGTTTAAAAATGGATTGGATGTGATTTGCGCAAGATAACTACTTTCCTTCCACCCTAATTTTTTAAGTTGGGAGTTTTGGAAGTGGACCATCTTCTGATTGTTCGTTTTCGCCGGGAACTGTTTGCGATAATGTAACTTTTACTTGTAACTTTGAATATTTTAGATCTCACAAATAATACGTAAATTAACAGAGGGTTGGAGGTAGTATTCAATATTCTCTTCATTTTTCTTTCAAGTGTCTCATTGACAATTTAAACAATGCTTATGAATTATATATAAGAAAAAAAAAATTGAGTGCTAGTTGGAATCGTTGTAATGAATAGATTATTAATATTTAATTATTATAATATACTTATTGATGAATTAAGATTTTATTGGTCAAAGTTTTGCATCAGCATGTGTGACGCATCACTATGTGATACGTGCTAAACTCTAATTAGGCACTTACAACCAAGGGAATATAAAAGTATACATAGTACGAGTAATATAGTTATATAGAAAAGAGGGAGCCCCATCAAACTTAGATCAACGAAGTTTGTTAGTCTATTGGTCGAATTGTAAATAAAAACAACAATGCAAGCTCAAGTTCATATGCTGAGTTAGATCATCCCCTTTTTCTCTAATGAAATAAACCCGGTCGTCGCCACCACCTTCCTCCATCTTCTCACCAGTGAAGCACCATTTCCTCCGATATCCTCCATTTCCTCTCCAAAACCCACTACCGCCACCACCGATCTCCCTGTTTCCTAGTCGAAACCCATCATCGCCGCCACCACCATCTCTTCGTCAACTTGCCTATCAACCATGACGCACATCTTAAACGCCACTTCGCGGCTGTAAATTGTCCGTCTTACAAAAAGACACTCTATTAGTAAAGTGTGTAAAACTATAAACCGACCCGTTAAAACAAAAAGACAAAGCATTTTCGGCGAGTCTGATGGCTTTGTCGCCCCTTCTCCTACTTCTACCTCACTACCTACATTAGTAACTCAAACAACACCCTAATAGCATTTTTAGTAGTAAATGACAACTATATCCCCAACTTAATGAGAATAAAGTCAGATATACCCCTTGATATATTTTACTTAGCTTGTTTTTAAAAAATATCAACTTATTATTTTTTTTTTTTTTTAATTTCGTACCTTCCCAGCCCCTAAATCCACCACTTCAACATCGTCGTTGTCAAGACGAAGAGCATTTAGAAAAAGGTCCTCAACCATAGTGTCGGAGATCAGCATCGGTGATGGAGGTCAACTTTCTTTCGAGGAGGAAACCCTATCTTGCAAGGGAGAGCGTATGGGTTTTTTTTTTTTTTTTTTATCAACTTAAATAATTAGGATAACTACTTCCACCCTATAACAATTGTGGATAAATCAGCCATCAGTTTTTAAGAAATAAAAAGTACTGTACTACGTAGATAAATTGACTAAGTCTTGGTGGAATGGCAAAGCTATCCCTTATTTATTAGCTGAAATGACCATACTACCCCTTGATTTACATCTTTTTGTGTATCAAGCTTATAAACTTATTTTTCTCCAATTAGAATGAGGTGAACTGTAAATCCTTTTCATTAAATTAACAAAAAGAGGGGCAAAACAAACTGCATTGGTAGATAAAATGTACAACAATGGACATTTAATCTGTCCAGAACAAAGTTAAGATCAAACAAGATACAGACTCACCATAAATACTCTAACCTGTATACCACTATTGACTTCTCAAATTAAAATAAAAAAAGTCTAGGTGTTAGTAGTTAGCTACGCAGCAGGAAGAGGAATAGGCTTAACAGCACTATGGATACGTCGGAATGCTGTTCTAACTCTTTCCTTCAGCCCTTCATTCTCACTCTCAACATCACCACTCTGTTTGTCAAGATAAGCCACGTTGTTGTCAACAGTGATCACCAATCTCCCATCTTCACCTAACTTCACATCTCCAAACAGTGATACCAGAAGTGCATGGGCAACCTTCTGCATCTTCTCCTGACTTTCTTGAGTTTTTTCAGACTCTGAATCAACCACTACTTTTGGCATCTCTTTGCTCAAATTTAGAACCATAGCCACTATTGAATCTGAAACCATGTCGCAGATTGGATCAGCTGACCAATGGAGGGATACATGCTTTTCTGACTCCTGCTTTATAGTAACAGAATCATGTACCCGCAATGTTGGAACATTAGAATCTTCATCAACCCCAGATTCAACACTCTCATATATCTGCTTTAATCTGTGCTTCAAAACACCAAATGCACCAGAATAAGGAATGGTAATCCGTTGGTTAACATTAGCTGTGCATAGCTGAGAAAATAAGTGAAGATCTTCTGGGGCCATAATCTGGTAAGTGAAGCCTTTCTTCACCAATAAACCACTCACAGTTTCACCAACTTCAGGGGTTTTCTCAGCGACCCTTCCTATGGTTTTTGCCATTTTTTCAGAACTAAAATACATTTCAACAGACTGGCAGTTCTTAGGAGACATAATTTTGGTATTCTGATCAGAAAACAAGTCGATGAGACTCTGTTTAAGCCTTCCCATTTGAGTAGCCTCTCCATGAACAAGTATTATGTTGGGAGGCATAAGCTCTTTAAGGAAAGCACTTGTTTCAGAATAATCAGCATGAGCAGAGAAGGATATGTAACGGACCTGCATATTAAGAGGAGCAGCAAGACCGTTCATCAGGGTCACTTCCTTTGGTTCGTTTAAGATGGTTTTGGCCAACGTCCCTTCAACTACATACCCAGGAATGACACATGTATTTTTCTTGTCTGTACACCACTTGTCAAAAAGCTGTCTGGACAGCCCACTCTGAAGCCCACCTGGACTTGCCATCACCACTGAGGGACCGACATCATCAAAGTTCTCAATGCTCTTCAGTGGAGATATGTGCTTGAAGTCAAAGGGGTTTGAACTTTCAAATTGGCTGCGGATCCTGTCATTCATAGCATTTATGTAGGTCTGATAGACAGCCATGCATCTTTTTGCAAGAGGAGAAGCATAATATATGGGGATGTTGTGAAGCTCAGGGTGATTCGACCAATACTCATCAAGAATTAATAACAGTTCTTGAGCACGACCAAGAGCAAATGCCGGAATAAGAACACGGCCCCCTTGGGCAACAGTAGAGTGAATAACATCAGTGAAGCGTTTCTCTCTCATGTGCCTAGGTTGATGTAGCTGAATACCATAAGTGGATTCAATTATACATATGTCAGGAGAGAACTCAGGAGTCTCAGCACAACGTAAATGTCTGTCTTCTTCACGGGAATAATCACCAGTATAAAGCACTCTCACTCCGGCAATGTCCACCATGAACATGGCTGCACCAAGGACATGACCGGCAGTATAACACCAGAAACGAATTCCATTTACTTCTAAAGTTTGATGAAAATCAATAACCTACAGATGATATGATACATTATCAATGTTGACCATATCACTATGTCAGAATGCATTTCAACATAAAGACTCTTAAATACGCTGCATGGGAATGTCTTAAACAAGTCATCAATGGACAATATTCCATGTAGAGTCAAAAAATAAAATCAAGCTAATACTTAACATGCTATGATATTTCGCTACAAAATTAAGTAATCAGATTCATTTTCCCCAGGTAATTATTCCATGATGTGATTGATAAATAATGGTTGTTTTACAGTTCCATCCTACAGCATGCTTCCTCAAGATGTCCATGCTTCAATTCTTTTATAGGGAACTTAATCATGCACAAAGCAACATATAAAAAACATGGATTCGCAGCACAAACAAAGCTTAGAGAGATCAAGAATATTTTATTTATATTGTCATTATTTTGACAGGAGATCATGATGAATGCATTCTTACTGCAACATTGCTAATCACTGTTGAGTGTTAACTAGTAACTTCCAAATGTGAAGTGAAATGTAGTAAAACACTAATTTTACAATTCCAATATAAAATTTAAATGATTCTATCTAACACTTAAGTGATAGACCCAATATTGGGTCAGCCCATTAAGGTTTATCACCGTAGGTCCAAGAAGAGTCAAGCTCACGAATTGGGTCCAGGACAAAAACAAATCAAACACAACGGTAACCAGCAAGAGCAAGCAACAGAAGTGGAGGAACAAGGAGAGCAGTAGCAATTGTCAAGGAAGCCAAATTGGGAAAGAGACAAGCTTGAAAAGGATGAGACACCACTTTGTAACCATGGCAAAAAGATTGATGTTCCCTAAGCTTTGTAAGTCAACTAGTATTAGTTTTAGGGTATATTGGAGCTTGAGTATAAATTGTATGGTATGTAGTAATAGCCGTTTTATCCAGAAAATTGTTGAGAGAATTCTCATGAGAGTTGTAGCCTAAAGCTACTTAGAGATTAATAGCCTCAAGCTATTGCTATCTTGTAATCTTTTGAGCTTCCTGTCTAATCAAATTACTCAAGCTTAACCTTAATTTGCGTTAATTAGTCTTAATTACATTGTGTGAGAAGCGGTTCTTGACAACTTACCATTATTAACACGATATTTGGATAGAAAGATTTGAAGTTTAAGGGAGGAAAGGCCGAAAGGGAAAGTAAGGGATTAATTTTCCATTGTTGGATGATAAGGGAAAAGGATTAGAGGGATCCATTTTCCTTTATCATTTAATAAATCATATCCCTCCATTCGGGAAATTTTGAGAGGAAAATTGAAGCTCACTATTTCCACCCCTCACTTCCTTTTCTCTTCCCTCGTTTTCCCCTTCTTTTCTTTCCCTCTACAATGCTATCATCATTTCAAACTTACATTCACATTTCCAATAATACTAGAATTTTGGTGGTTTTGTCACCTTAATTCAAGTGCAAAACTCCCAAAAAAAAAAAAAAAAAAAAAAAAAAACTTAAATACTACCCCCTATATTATCTTTTATTATTTATTACTTCCTCTGTGTTTTTTAGATTCATCACCTTCTAAAACAGGGAGTTTCAATATAGATCATCACTTTCCTTTTTAATTAATAAACTCTCTTTATCTTTCTCCTATCAAATGGGTCTATTATTTTCTTTTCCTCTAACTCTCTCATCTCCAAAAATAGTGTAGGAGGCCGCAATTTTTAAAGTAATGCAACTAAAAAGAAATGGAGGAAGTAGTGAGAATTGAAAAAAGTTAATATTCTGAAGAAAAAAAACATCCATAACTATAACTCCAAGCTCCAACAACATCTAATTTATTAACATTTGTATATATTTGTGAGCAAGAAAAGGGGTCTAAATAGTAATTTAACCAAAAAAAACCAAAGTGTGTCATATAAATAAGGCCAGAGGGAGTATTGGTACTTTTTTCAAGTTATACTTAGGTTTCTGAATTAGTATAACTAAATGCAAAAAAGCTAGTACAGCAATAATGATAAATAAACAATAATAATAAACAATGATAATAATGACAATGGCAACACTAATAATATACTTCCTTTGTTCTTTTTAAGTTGACACATTTCTTTTATGACGTATGCCAACGCGAAACTTCAACCATAAATATCTTTCAATGAATTAAACTTATAAAAAGTTGGGCATTTTGAATATATGCAACAACGCGAATCTAACAAAATGCCACATGAGACATGACTATAATCTATCTTAAGCATAAATCACAAAAAGATTGTTAAAATTGTGCATTTGAAATTTTGAATAGCATCAAAAGTTAAAACGTGTAAACTAAAAAAGAATGGAGGAAGTATATAGAAAAGCTAAAACAAGCCAAGGGGAAAGGGTTGAGAAAGACTATTACAAGGCATAGGTAAAAGATAGCATGCAAACAGAAAATATATATAACACATAGATGACATAGTCCATTAGTCCCCTAGTTAGAAATGAAAAATATATTTTTTAAAAAATCTGTTAAGACTCTTAGTTCTTCCGTTGTTCCAGAGAACAATTGCCCTAAGCACCGTAAAAGGCTTTAAGCGTGTTGTAGCTATAATGTTGGCATTCATGACTTAAGACACCATGGATTCAATCCACACGGCTACAACTAAGTACCAAGATGGTCAAAAGAAGTACAGATACAAGAAGAGCTAACCCGTAAGAAAATGGATAAGTTGGAAGTCAAATAACCAGTATAAAATCCTATTTGCCGGTTAATTATCTGTTAGGAAAAGTAAGCCATGTGGAACTCTATTGACTATGAAAGTGCGGTGACTAGTAGATCATTATTTCAATATAAGTTTATAACAACACCATCAATTCAATATGCTTGAGGGTGTTTGGATAGAAGAGGTTTGGGGCAAAAAGAGAGGTTTGAACTTTGACTAACTCAAAAACCTGTAATATGAGTGTTTGGATAATTGGCTGCGGGGATTATAAAGTTTTGAGTTCAAAAGGCTAATTTTGAAAAAGCTACTAATATCAGTTTTTTGATGATAGGTTTGTGGCAGTTAAAAAGATATTACTCTTCTATCTTAAAGCTGATCAAATAATACTAATACCAAGTTTGTTCAAACTAATATTCTAATAATAGCTAAAAATATATGATATATCCTAACTGATCATTTTACACAATTAAATAGTTATTAGCTTGCAGCTATTTACCAAACACTTTTACATAAATAGCAAGCAACTAGTCAAACCAAACTAGCTCATACAAACATCTAACAAGAGTCACAGCTAACCTTGTTGCCAAATAAGGCCTTCATCTTCAGAAAAGCAATTAAGATACTAAACTAATTTTTAAAACAAAGACAGAAAAAAGAGGCAATTCCAAAACAATGATAACATTCCTATGCAATTTGGAGAGAAAACCAACCTCAATTCTGTCCATAGAACGAAGAATATCTTGCTCATCAAACAGCATGTCTTCAACTGAAACTTTGCTGACTTTGACATAATCAGACAAAAGAAGTCTGTAGATAGCTTTAGTTGCATGAGTCATATAAACTTTGCCTTTAAATGTAGTCTGATAATAGAAACAGAGAATGAGTTAGTACAAGTAGAGTGTCCTCTGAAGTATATAATTACAGATCAAGCAAACACAAACCTTTTCCAAGAAATATGGAAGAGATGCAGCATGATCCAAGTGAAAGCTGCAGGTATGATGCGGGATCAATGGAATGAATCAAATATTTATAAAAAAATAAAAAATAAAAAATAAAAAATAAAAAATAAAAAAAAAACAACAACAACAACACAGAAAAGCAAGATGCAACCAAACAAAAACAGGAGTAGTAAGAAGAACACTGTAGATTTTTAAGTAGAATACAACACTGCTAAGTTGGTTGTAAGGTATAGAGAATGGCCTATTATCTTTAGGCCTTACCAACAAGACAACAATTGGACAAAGGTAGAATTCAACGCATGCAAATACCTTAGCAAAATTAAAACAAAGTTGTACGTCTGAACAAATCAGCTGAAAAAGGAAAGAAAAACATACTGAGTAATCAGAAGGACGTCAATTGTTGAAGGATCAATTTCATCAAAGTAAGGCAAAGCAGCCATTCCAGAATATGCAGGGTGAATGCCACAGTCAAACTGGAAGGAAGATAATGAATGATTTAAGTAACCAAAAACGAGATAAGGTATTAACATTTAGTCCCGCTAACAGAGTAGAAGTTTGTGAGCAGTCTATACCATTACAGTCTTCCCTTTGTAGGACATATAAACACAAGATCGTCCCACTTCACTTCCAGCACCTAATGGGGTTATAATAAGTTGATCTCCTTCTCTTGTGGCTGGAGAATCGCGTTTTTTCAGCGATGATGGTGGCTGACCAGTTGACGCCATATTTAAATCCTTCAACAAGGACAACAATGATCATATAGTGCTTTAAAACATCACATAATACTCAGTTCAAACTCAAACATGCAACAACTATAAACCTTCCCATTTGTTTCCATTATATTTCCTTTCGATTCAATACAATAACCGCACTCTCGGAGATGACATGGTAAGAATTTGAAACCCAATTCTCACTTTACTTGCTACACTACAGAATGAATACTTCAGCCAATTCCTACAAAGCCCGGTTTTCTATTCAATACAATATACAAAGGCAACAAAGCTATGACATTATGCAAATTGGCTAATCTCTAATTCCAATCCAAATTTTTGACCTAAATTCATGTAATATAGGGTTCAACCCCGAAAAATCAGAAAGTCTTGAAACCGATCTTTTCTAAAACTTAGGTGTAATTAAGCTGAAATCAGTGTTTGTAAATATACAATTCTACTTCTACTATCAATAAAAGTAGACAACAACCCAAAATTATGAAAACATTTTCATTCATGCATTTCACCGAACACTTGGTATGCAACTCAAACAATGTAGTTCCCTAAGCTCAAAAACAATCAAATATAATCATTAATATCCATCACATAACAACAGTCCATATCGAATCGTACTCAATTTACAGCGATAAACCCTAATTAGAAAACCTAACTGATCGAAAATCGAAGCATAAACTTACCAAAGCAAATGTAAGTGGTGGAAGTGGCGGTGAAAGCAATGAAGAGGTGATGGTAGGTTGTCGACGGCAATGAAGACGGTGGTTTTTGGATGGAATGAGATGAAAGAGAGGAGAGAGAGGGGGAACCCGCGGTTGAATCAGAATAGTAGGCTAGTAGTGCCGGGCGCCTAGGGGAGTTCGGATGAAACTTTGGCTGAGGGCCTGTTCCGAAGTAATTCGAGGTGAATTGAATTAAATTGAAATGAACAAAGTGATTAGAGGTGAATTGAATTAAGCAAAAATGAACTGAATAGACCTTAATTGAAGTGAAGTGAAATTACAGGCAAAATTTTGTCCTCTATTTGTGTTAATGGTAAAAAAAAAAAAAAGGAAGCCCCGGGTAATCTCTGTGGGCATTTTGTTAAATAAATCGATAAGTTTATCCAGTCATCATAAGATTCATAACTGTAGGACCCGCTTTTATTGAAAATTTTATTGATTTATTTATTAAAATGACATGTGGTAAACAATAATTGTGTATCTCGAAGATGAACTTGTATTTGCCTATAAAAAAATAAGGAAGCCCCACTTAATCTCTGGGATAAACAAAAATCGTTTATCACGTATTATGCTATGTTTACTTCAATTTATGAAAATATAAGATTGAATCAATCAGAAAAAAATAAGTTATGACAATCTTCACAAATTCTTATACTCTGTATGTGGCTGGCCATACCGTGTGGCCAGTCGTCACAAAGATTATTTCATATGTGTAATAGGGTTACTTGGTTTTTGTTAAGGGGGTTACTTTAAGGGAAGCCTCAGTTACTCAATATGAGTAACAATTTGTGTTACTCAAATTACATAAATTGTAAATAATAGTGAATTTAACAATAATTTATAATTTTAATTTTGTTGCTGATTCAGTCACCCTCCTTCCTCGTCCTTCCTCCCCCTCTTCATCCTCCCTCCTTTCTCAATTATAATGGCAGATTTTCACCAAGAAATCATACAACAACCCAACACCACAACAAACCAATCCCACTATTTCCAACGTCCCATTCTAGCAGCTCCACCATCGAATCCAACGAAAACCCTAGGTAAAAAATAGAGAAATAAAGAGCATGGTTAACCCATAAGGGTAGGTGTTAAAGTTTTCTTGTTAGCTTTCCCTCCTCCATGCAACCGAAAGTGACTAGACAACCAGGGACAACGAAGCAACGTAATGACACACGATTCCGCAACAAAAGGCTAACAAGGAAGGCCGACTAAGCAATCAGAAACCTAGTTCGGGCTAAATTAGGCTAACAAGGAAGGCTGATTAAGTCACCAGAAGCTATTAACCCTCAAAAGCTACTTCTATGGTGAAGAACAAACTTCATGCTTCAATAGAGAATTTTAGGGCACGGGCAAAAAGAGGCATGAGAAACTAGAGGAAAATGGTGAAAACTGAAAAGGGGAAAAGAGAAAGGAAGTTACATTATTGTCCAAACTTTATTAAGTGAAAAAGACAATTTTTACCCTCGAGTAACACAATTGTTACTCATATTGAGTAACTTGGATTTACTCGTTACTTAGTCAGTGTTACAAGGGTTACTCAAACAGTGTTACAGGTCTACTTAGTCAGTATTACTAGATATAATTGGTTAGTGTTATAGAGGTTACTTTGTTTATTTATAAGTGGTCATACGGTGTGGCCAACAACACACAAGACGGGCTGTACAAACTTTAAAACACACTTTGTTGTTTTATTGCTAAATATCTTTTTAATTTTATGTTGAAAAAAATTATAAAAATTATATATTAAGAAAATCTATACTATATATAATACTAAAGTAATACACTTGGCATAGTTTTGTGAAAATTTTCTCTAATAAATGTTATTTACATATATATATATATATTTTTAAATCCATTAAAATTAATGTAAAATTATAATTATAAGGTGTGTAATAAACATTAAATAAATTCAAATTTTCTTAAAAAAAAGTGTTACATTAGTCATTTAATTTCAATCAACACTATTTTAACTGACTATCATTATTAATAAATTATTAAATCTTATATTATGGATCTGTGCATTGCACGAGGCTAAAACGAGTACACATTATTACAAATCCAATAAGACACCACTAAATATATTTTTTCTTTATAGATTACTGTACAGTAAAGTCTAATTTTGGTCAAATCAACAAACAAATTAGATCAAATCAAACCAAATTAGATTTAATTATATAAGAAAAAATAAGATGAACTAAGCAAACCTTAAAGGAGTACTTAACTTTTAGATAGTAGATCCGATCCCTAGGCTGGCTAGCTCACCGACCAACTTGACCGAGCCCACCACAATTCATGCTAGATTATGGAGATCGTGCCTCGCTGGTAATTTGGAACTTAGGCATGGCATCACTAGCCCATGACCGGTTTAGGGACTATATATCTATTACGTAGTAGTTAAGCACCATGAGATTAACAAATTGAGTTTTATGATCAAACCATCGTTCATTGTATATGTAGCCAATATCATAATTTACAAAAGCGTAAGAATTATTGGATTTTTACTGAGGATAGCCCGTGGGCCATAGGCTTTGTAACGGGCGCTCGGAACTGATTCACGTTTATTTTGACATTCTTTTCCTCCACAGTACCATTATGTCCAACTAAACTATCTTCAATTCGTTATCTTAAATGCAAATAAAATTTAGAACTGAGTTTATTGCCTTAGTTATACTCTTTGTATTTTATTACTTGCTCCATTTCTCCAAGACATATATGTCGATGTAAATATTTGATCAGTATATCTTTAATAATCAGTAAGCATAAATTATAACAATTAAAAATTAATACTTTATTTATTGAGATAATTCTAACAAATACTCACAAGACTATATTTTTTCATAAGTCACAAATATTAATCAAGTAGGTCAAATAAACAGTGCAAAAATGCAAATGAAACAAGCAAAAAATATAGACGGAGTAGTATAAAACATTAGCCCTTTGTCGGTTTGTCCTCGTGGATCGATTCTTGCTTAGGAATAAGTTCATGATTTAATTGCATTATTTTGTTCTTGTGATCAATTTTTTTTATACTACCTCTGTTACATATATTATGTGCAACTTTTGAATATTTTATCTCATAAATAATGCCCAAAAGTTGCACATAATATATAACGGAGATATTATTTATAAATATACTTGCACTTAAATTGTTCAACCTTCTTTGTTTTTTAACTGCATAATTTTAAAGTCGTAAAATGTAAATTACATTTATATATGTAAATTTAATATCATAATATAAATCGAGACGAAGCTAGGGTGCGTTCAAATCGTCTGAATTTTACTTATCCAAACTAACTTATTAGACCTTATTAAAACTCATATTAATTATAATTTGAATTTAACAACCTTTATTCGAACTTATTTTCCTAAACTGAACTTATCTGTTCTTATTAAAACAAGTGAAAATAAGGTAAATAGATTAGACATGTAAAATACTACCTCCGTTACATATTATTTGCAACGATTAGACATTTTTCCTCTCTACTTTATGTCAAATCGTTGCAAATAATGTGTAACGGAGTTAGGGCCTGTTCTCATTGACTGAACTAAGCTGAACTGAACTGAGCTGAACGAAACTGAATTGAACTGAGCTGAGCTGAACTGAATTGAACTGAATATTTTATAAGAGAAGGAAATTAGAAGCTGAATTGAAATGAGCTGAGCTGAGCTGAGCTAAACTCAACTGAATTTCAATATAAGAGAACAAACCCTTAATAAGTAATGCTAACAAAATGGCAGTCTACACTCCACTTTTCATGAAAGTCCACTTTGAAAAGTGCAGTGACAGTCCCACTTCGACTCCAACTATCAATTGACAACTTGCCAAATCCATAACCCTCATGTAACGCTATCAAACCTCCCTTCCACGTGTTAATTCTCAATTACACTACAGATCTTCCGCTCTAGATTTCGTAAGCGTCAGTCGCTCCCCCATCCCTGTTCTCAACACCATCACTCCCATTTTCTCTCTCCTCCAAATCTCATTTTTTGTCACTTAATTTTTTTAAATTTTTGCTAATTTATACTTTGCGTATAAATAACTAAAAAAAAAAAAAACATAAACCTCTCCAAATTTCTCACCTTTTCTTCACTCTCCCTTCACACCGACTTCTCTAGCTTTCTCACGATCCATTTTTCCTTCTTCTCGTGATCGAGATCAAATCTCGTCTACATCATTATTCGCCGAATTAGAGGTACGACATTGTTGATTGATTGAATGTGGTTGTTTAATTTGTTGATGATCGTTTAATTTTGATGAAACTTTATGTTTTGAAGATTTTTGATTATTGTGTTTGTTTGATTTGGTTGATCAAGTGTGGATTAGAAGTAGAAGGAGAGAGAAAGTGTATGTAATTTTTGAATCTGAATCTAGTGAGGGTATTTTCGTCAATTTTCGGCGGAAATGCGAGGACGTCAAGCGGTTGGAGATGCTACTTTATCGACTTACAAACGAGTTGCATCTAAAGATGTAGATGGTAATTACACTAATGAAGGTAATTTCTTAAATTTTTAATTGTTAATTACATTTTAGTAAAGTTTATTGTTTGAGAATTGTTTATATTTTGTCACAGTGTAATTAATACGAAGTACGAAGTAACTTGAATTAAGTTTACATGTATGAATGTTGAATTATTAATAATTATTCTAATTGCTTGCTAATGATTACTGGTTAGTTTAGTTATTCTTATTCCTAATACTAATACTAAGCCAAAATATGTAGTTTGTGATCAATATTTTATGTTTTAATTTGCAATTGTATATTGCAAGTTGGTTAATTTATGAATTTTTGGATGAAATTGATGTTATTTAACAGACTACATCCGTTTCTTATTATGTGCAACAAAGGGGTATTATTTGTGAGACATAAAATATTTCTTTTTTTGCACATGATAAGAAACAGAGGTATTACATTACTCTTATGATAAAGTTTATGTTTACAATACTTCTATAAGCTATTAAATGATACATGCACCAATGTACGCGATGCACCGAATAATTACTTAGTGCATCTCATAAGTTTATACTCCTTCAATTTTTATTTTTAAAGTGCAACACTTTGAGTAACATGAGTTTTAGGTGAATAGAGTTGAATTTTTTTGAATTTTGTGTAAGCGGAGTTTGTTAGAGGCTTAATTATAATAATAAAAAAAGAGATAATGAGTTTATAGATATTGCACCACTAAATCACGCATTGATTGGTATAGTTAATATTTCATTTAACATTTTAACTTAATATATTCACTTTCAGCTTTATATGCATCATTTTTATTCGCAATATAATTAAAGGGTAATGCTATATGTAGCCCTAAGGGCTATATATAAGCATTAAATACACTCTTGGAAATTGTATAAAATTAGGAATTCATGACAAGAACATGCGTAAATCGTGTTATTAGTGTTTATATTTTGCGATAGGAGAATAAAGTGCCTTCCTC